CAAGCACAAGAGACAGTCCCCTATGCAGACTGCGGCATCAACCAGCAGCAGTGCCGCACCTTTCCGATGGACAGAGGAAGACAGTACACCGCTGAAGTACGGCTTCACCGGTAATGGCGGTGCCGTCGATCCCTGCCTGCATCGCAGCTCAACATGCAGTGAGGCCTTTGAGCTGTTTTTCGACGATGTTCTCTACAACAAGGTAGTGCAAGAGACCAACCGGTATGCCGTGCAGAGGCCCGCTACGACATGGGTGCACATGCGATCATGGACTGATCGGAACACTAGAGAACTGAAGGCCTTTCTGGTCCTTTTCATAATGATGGTCATCACAAAGCACCCCACCCTTCACAGGTTCTGGTCAACCGACCCCCAACTGAAGATGAGCCTGTTCCTGTCCGTCATGCCCCGAGATCGCTTCCTTGCCATCCTGCAGTCTCTGCACTTCAATAACAACAGTGCCATGCCGGAGGACTGCAATGACCACCTTTTCAAAGTGCGCCCAGTCGTTGACCATCCTGTTCAGAAGTTTCCCACTGTCTACATTCCTCAATGGGACATTTCCGTCGCCGACTCCCTGCTGATATTCTACAGGCCTCTCCGCTTTGCTACCTACAACACCAGAAAGAGAATCCGCTTCGGCATCAAGATGTACAAATTGTGTCAGAGCACCCGGAATGCTGCCGGGTACTGCTACAACCTCAAGATTTACACCTGCCAAAGTAAAGGAGACCTCCTAGCAACTACGCAAGAGGTGATGGACCTGGTGAGCAACCTGAACAGCAAGGGCTGCAACCTTGCCCTTGACCGGGCCTTCAGTAGTCTCGATTTGTTTTGACGACTTCACAACCAGAAGTTCAATGTCGTCAGCACCGTCACAGCCAACAGAAAAGGCATGCCGAAAGACATGCAGTCCGTGGGGGCGAAACAGCTTTTTAGTCGGCCGACCTGGGCGTCAGCAGTTCTCTCCTGGCCATGGTGTGGCGACAAGTGCAACATCCATATGCTCTCCACCATGCATATGACAGACATCCGTGGCTCCAGCAAGCAAGACAGGACCGGGGAGGAAAAGCAGAAACCAACCTGTGTCATCGACTGCAACGTCCTGATGGGGGCATTGACAAGAGCAACCAGTTAGCGGAAAACCATCAAGCTACGCGTAAGTCCTTCAAGTGGTACAAGAAGCTACTCTTCTACATGCTCGACTTGACGCTGGTGAACAGCTATTCTGTGTACCTGGCCGTTGGTCACTGCCTCTCCTTCCTCGACTACTGCTTGAGTCTTGTCCGTATGCTTCTTTTCGAAGAGCCCTTGCCTGAGTACCACCCATAGCAAGATACTCCACCAGCCACCAACTCCGACTTTGTCGGCTGCCACTTCTCTGTCACCTTGGAGAGGACCAGCTACGGCGACTTCCGCTACCAGGCAGTGTGTCCTCTGCACTTACCAGGGTCATTGAAAGAAGACACACATCGAGTGCAACACGTGCCACCAGCCCCTCTGCATCGCCCCCTGCTTCAAGGAGTACCATATCGTACACTGATCAACACTTGAACATTTGTTTTCATGGAAATTTTCATGGAATTATTTTGTGTTTTTCATGACTTGCTGCCCTATTTATCAGGTGTAAAAGAATATGTCATTTTCTGGTGGTTTTAGGAGTTCAAACAACAAGTTTTATTGAATGTACAAGTGTACATATTATATTTTCATTCCTTGAAAAAGTAACAAAATTCCTCGAACTGGTTTTACAAATTGGGTCATGTTTTCAACCTTTGAAAAAATGACCAAAAAAGACATTTCAAGGAATGTACTGCTTCAAGGATGTTGTATTTTCATCCCTTGAAAAAGTACCAAATTCCTTGCACTGGTTTTACTAATTGGATCAAGTTTTCAACCCTTGAAAAAAATGACAAAAAAGACAAAGTTTCTGAAATGTACTGCCTTGAGGATGTTGTATTTTCATCCCTTTAAAAAAAAGGAAAATTCCTTGTACTGGTGTTAGGAGTTTGGTTAAAGTCGGGAAATGTGTTACATTTCAATGAGAAATGAAAGAAAACAAAAGAAAAATAAGAGAAAAAGAAGTTCTCTGCAAATATTTGTGAGTATTTCTTTGTGTACTTGTTTTATTGGTTTCTAAGGTTTTACTTGAAAGTTTTGGGGCAACAAAGTTTTGGGGTGGGAAATATCCATTTTGAACTCAAACTTAGATGGGGGGGATGGACAAATTGAGAGATAAAATATGAGAGAGGTTTAAGGGGAATATACATTTTTACCTATGGGAAAATACATGCCTTAAAACGTCCCGTAGCTTCAAAAAAGTAGCAAAGGTAAGATGCAACAGCGCCACAAAAAGCACATTTTTAGACCTCCAAGTTTATAACAGGACTCATTTGTCCGTCATGGCCTGCAGGCATTCAACTGTTTAAATTGCCCTGTGCATATGGGCACAGCTTCCCATGCTCTCACCACTTATTACACCCTGGGGTCTTGACCATCAATCGCTCTGCATAGCAACACCTCAGTATAGCAACACCTCAGTATAGCAACACCTCAGTATAGCAACAGGTTGGGCCAATGCCCGGAACAAAAGAGGGATTATGCAACACTACACAATAGGGTCTCCATACAGAGCGGGCGGCGTGGCTGCAAAACTAAAGGGTCAATGGAGGTTGCTTGTCGGGCTACACTCGCCACAAGACAGTCATTCTATGGGGTTTACACGTTCAGAAAAAAAAAAGCTATGAATTTTTGAAGATTTTTGAAAAACGAAAATATGAAAAAAACAGCCCGGCAGCGCATATAATGCTTAAAAAAAGGACCTGGCAGCAAGTGGTTTAGGAGCAAATGAGCTTGAGAATGTGAGAGGTGAGAATTCTACTCGCCCGAGTGTGTTCTCAAGGAGTTTCCCTGAAGGATTTTGAAAGAGACAGATAAGATTCCAAAATGAATGATGACGATGCAGTAGTTCATGATGCAATAAATGACCAGCAGGCAGTGACAAATCACCTGTGCGACAGCCCAAGGCAATCACAGTTTCATTCGGGCAAGTAGAATTTTGACTAGCTGTGCAGGTTCTGGCAAGTCCAGAAAAGCTGGCCTCTTTCCTGTCTTCACAAAACATCTTTCAATAACCTTTTCTGATGTTAAAATGCTTGTTTGTGTATGTTTTCCTACCAACATTCGATACGTTGAGAAGAAACTTCTGTTACAAATGTCGCTGCCTGACGATCACTCAAATCTGCCACAATGTTGATCCATTTTCTGAAGTGTGGCTCAATATTAAAGTTCATGTTGTGTAACTATTCGTCGGACAAATTCCTTGAAATTGTTCAAGCTCCACTCCAGTTGGCAGACTAAATGTTTGTAACTTCTGGTGTTTTTAAAGGTAATAGGGAGGATTCTCCTGAGTGGACAAGCAAGTGTGTATGAAATGATGTCAGGTGTGAAGAATTGTGCATCGCCATAAGGAAACAGATACTGGCCTCTATTGAAAAGAAGTAAGCAGCGCACCGTGCCAGGTTCAGGAAAAAAGGATATTACATAACACCGCACAATCCGGGCTGTTTTTAAAAGGCAGCAGTAATTTCCAATGAGGGAAATGTAAGGAATTCAGAAAAAAATGCCTCAATTAAGTAAGTGGAATTTCTTTCATTTTAAAGAGAATGTGTTTAGTCCATGATATTTTCTCTCATGTCCAAACAACAAATGCACTGCATGAATGGCTATGGTGGCTTTGTAGTGCGGAATCATTCAGTTTTTAGTCTGGAAACTGGAAATTCAACCAAAAAAAGAACATAAATTCAGGCAGTTTTGTATCAAATGTTAGAACCATGAAAAAGGTATGCTAAACACAATTTTTGCTTTTGGTCAAAATATTTGTTCATACATTTTTATAAACTCTGACGTATTCAATGCCAATGTAATTGCAAGGCATTTTACATATACATATACATAAGTATATTTGTGCATTCATTTGTGTAGTATTACAAAATTTGTTAACTTTCCATGAACTTTATATTCCTTCGCTGGGATAGTTTTTACACTAAATGTTATTCTCAGTGTGGGTTTAATGGTTAACATGCAGTGTAAGAAAAAAGTACTGTAACTACACGTACTGCAGATATATGCCAAAGTCTTGTGTGTACATTACCATCACATGCTATTTTCAATTTATGATGCTATTCAATGTGTAATTATGTACAACTTGCCCTTTTTTCACGTTTCTTTTGTTTGTTTTTTTCAAACTGAGAGAAGCAGCTTAAGTTTGTATTATACTTGTGAAAGTTACATGTCAGTGATTGCAGCTTTCAAGAGAATTTACAATTGGCACAGTTTGTTGCAAGAAAATGTTCTGGAAAAAATTGTGGTTTTAGCAAAAGTGTAACTACCATTGGAGTTAGGTACGCCCAGTTTGGAATACAAAATTGCACGTGCTGTATTTTGCATTTTTAAATTTATAATAGAAGACAGAAGTACCTTGTCAGGTGCGTAAAAATTAAGTTGTTGGTGATGTCACAAGGAAATGTTGACGCATTTTGTCAGTCATTATTTCTCAAATTCAATTATTTTTGTACGTAAGAAATTCACCTTTAAAGTGGCCATTGAATCTCAATGTTTTTACAGAAAACGGAGGGTGGGGACCTCAATTTGTTATTTTGAACAAGAAATTCTCATGGTATACACTACATAGTGTATTTTACATGAATTCCACAGGGCCTCCCGGCTCAGTAAATATTCAAATAGAGGTCATGCGTGGAGAAGCTGTGCATACAGTGCACGTGAAATGAACAAGTTTTCTGTGCGCTGCAGACTGACAGGAGCTCACAGTTATGTGCGAAAACGTGTAACTGCTATAGTAGTTAAGTTAACAAATGCCTGATGTAGAATATGTTGCTACATTTGGTTTGTTGGCTTTACCGAACACTCTATAAAAGAACTGAGATAACAATGTAAATAATTGACTACATTCAGACAACTAAGAAAGATGCAACATTTACCACCATGAACTCTGAGTTGTCTCGGCAAATCTTCACCAAGGCAGAGCATGCATGTCTACGGACATTCTGTACAGGTCGTGTCCTCGTCTTCTGAGAATACAGGTAAGGTATAGAGTTTTACTTTCAAGCTCAATAATGGGAAAGAAATGATGCATATATACCAGGCTGGCATATAACAAAAAATACTGTTAAAAGAAAAAATTACCACATGAATTTTATTTTTATTTATTTATTCAGATGAAATCGACAAAAATGACAAAAACTAAGCATTACAAAATAAAATAAATCTAAAAAGACAAATTGGTTGAGTTTGATGGCCCAAGGAAGCAAATTACACAGGCTCATTTCCATGGGGTTCCAAATAGATCAAGATTACAAACACCAAAAGTGATCAAACGTATACACGGACATACTGAAACTGACAAACAGAGATAAAGGTGTAAAAAACATAGATGAATATGGTGCCTCTTTGTTTTAAAAACAATTTCACAATGTTATGCAAGCACAGCTCCCCCTTCCCAAATGCTTCCTGGAATATCCCTGTAAAATGTCTCCTCCTGAAATGTGTCGTTTCCAAACAAATATGAAACTAAAGCCAACATTCATTTTATAAGCAACAGTACCTTTGTTTGTCCAGGCAGTGAGAATACAGCCGCTGAAAACATCTGTGTAAAAAGTATCACATATAATCTTAATACAATTGTAACAGAATGGGTAAATTTTTTGTTGTCTTTTTTGTGAAGGGGAGGGCTTGTTTTACAGGTGTCACTGTAATTAGTTATTAACTTTGGAGGCTACTGCTGGCTAGATCAGGATTTCTTTTTAGTCATAGACCAGTGCTGGGCTTGTATCCGGTAATAGGTTCTAAAACTTCATTCAAGCTTGAATAAGTGGGTTATTTTTCCTGCAGTTATAGTGATTAATTTATCTAAAATGTAGGTCATTACAACTGGGGTTTTTTGAAGAGTACAGATCATATTGGAGATGCCAAATACGAATCTTAAAAGCAAAGTGCAAATACGTACTTAATAATTTCTTTTCTTAGGCCTCATATGGATGCAGTTTAAAGAATACCAAATTGTAGCCTAGACAAAGAGATAAAATTATCATTTCTTTGTTCTTCAGGGATCACATCAGAACCTTCCACTACGTCTGCAGTTTCAGGAAGAAATGTTTCGCATAACTCAAGGGAACCTGAATACGAATCAGTGCTGCCAGAAACAACAGAAATTATGAAAACAACAAATTTATAATAAAAAAAAAAACTAAAAAAAAAACAGAACAAACGTACAACAGAGGCAGATGATATATGTAGTTATCAAACTTTAATACAGAGCAATGTTCGAAAAAGACCAACCTCAATTTCCACTTGGAAACCAAACAGAAAATATCACCACACACTGTTTTAGTTTGTTCCCAAATTTTTAATGGCAAGTTAACTTGAATGCACACGTACTGATATTTCTTAAAAGATCAAGTTTCTTTTGAATACAAATAGAATTGCATATCTCTTTTAATCACACCATTTTGGAAGGAAGAATATCACAAAAAAATATGACCATCCGTTGATCATGTTGATCAGCAACTGCCCTATATACACATACATGCATGACTAGGCTCTATTAGTTACCCACACAGCAAATATGTGACCTGTCACAACAAAATGAGAGTAAAGTCGCATCCCACACTTTTCTATTTTCAAGGTTCAAAGTCATATTGAAGTGGACTCACTTTTGGGGTTTTGTAATCATTGGAAAGACTAACCTGTCTCCTTTCTAATTCCAAACATTTTGCAGAATCACATATTTAACAATGTCATTTTCTCAGCAATTTTGACGATAGTATTATTCGTGCCTGGTCTGAAATGTTGAAACAATGTCGGGAACAAAGACGCAAAGCTGCCAGAATGATGTCCCATGGTTACCTTTTACTTTTACCCTAAGACTTCCATGTAGATACCATTGGAAAGCTCTCTTTCTGCCGAATTAAAAAATACCAATATCTCAGTTTTTGTGGTGAAAGGTCACATGTTTAATAGTGATGCAGAGGGAAACCTCAGGACCCATGCCTATAAATTTCTCCCCATATCTCTGATGTGACATTGAATTGCATGACTATCCACCTCTGATCTTGAAGATGACCCTCAGGAACAAATTTGAGGTCTTCACAAAGGAATTTCACTTTTGTCAAAATCACTTTACAAATGATAGTGAAAAGTCAGATCCAGTTATCAAATTTTGCTGTATCTTGGCCCTTTTTGATGGGGAAAATGATAAATATCTAAATCCTAAGGCTTTCTGGAATGATTGCTAGTGTTTGCTACCCTCAGGGTTTTCTGAGATAGATCATGAAAATTGAGCATTGGGTCATGATACATCAAAGTTAAAATTGGCTGCGGAAACAGTAATATGAAAACTAATATTCAGACTTTAAGACTTTTAGAAAGGTCAGAGGTAACTCAATAAAAGCTCCCTTCACATGTCCACAAGTCTGCCTGTCAGCCTTATCTTTAACCACGTGCCGCCGGGGAGCCCGGTTTCAGGCACATATTCTTTATATGTGTAGCCCGGGTCTCTGAAATTGGACCGGAACTAGGCCTTGTAACAAAAGACCGTATTTGTAACAAAAGACCAGGCTGCTAGGAATTACAAACATATTTCCACTCTAAATAGTGGAGATAATCCAGCCTTGTTTTGAAACAGTATACCATGGTTTGGGGCACTCAGAGCGAGTGGATTTCCACCGGGGACAAAAGCACTCCACCACCGCAGTGATGAGCTACACAGTACCACTGCACACTAATCTGGCTTCTATTGAAAAGAGGTCAGCAGTGCACTGTGTCAGGTTTGTGAACAAAAGAAAATAACGTAACAACGCACAATCTGGGCTCTTTTTACAAGGAGGCAGGCCTGGCTGACATACTCCAGCATCAATAGATGTTGCCTGTCAGATTAGAGTAGAAACCAGACAGTCCTTCCTGTGGTTGTAAGTGTCCAGTAAATGAAGATATGAATTTTAAAGAATTTTGAAAACAGAAAAAAATGAAAATTATCCCATCCCCGCATCATCAACATTCATAAATGCCCCTGGCACAATGTGGTTAATGGGCTCTTTCTACACTCAGACCAGTACATTTTACTGTGCACATGGGCTTCCAAAACAGAAATTTTGAAGTTCAAAAAGAAACGATTGCTGCAAAATATTTGGATTTACATGGAAGTATGGGTGAATTCATCGTTTTCAGCTGTTGCAAAGTAATCTGCAAATGAAAAATTATTTTTGGGCGGGTTGCAGAATGAAAAATGTTGAAACTGAGCAGGTGCTCTAGGTGAAAAAACAAATGGATTTTCTGCAGTGGTCTGATGTAGAAAGAGCCCAATAAAGATGAGGCTGACAGGCAGGCTTGTGGACATGGAAAGGGAGACTTCCCCAAAGTTGCATGGATTCTGCATGGTGGGAGAATAGGAAACGTGAAAAGTCGCATTTACCTACTTTTTATTGTACTTAGTAGAGCTGCAGAATATTTAAATTGCATTCATAAATACATGGGTCACTTTTTTCTATTCCTACTGGATGAAACGGGTCATGTGACCATGTACTAACATTTGATAATGCCCGCTGAGAAGGGATTATGCCCCCTGCGTAAATCACGTGCTGGCACAGGGATACAAGATTGTATTTCTAAAAGGTCAGGAGTCTGTGCGTACATGACGTGCCTGTCCACAATACAACTTCGTTGGGTACTCTATTTGGACAACTTTCATAAGAAATATACCATAAATGGACGGGGGCATTGGGGAAAATGAAAGTTTTAGAACAAAATCATTAGAAATCCATCATACATGTATGTTGACTTCTTTTGATTCTCTAAATAAAAAGGTATTTATAAATGGAAATTAATATGTGCTTGACCAGGCTTAAACTAACATTTAAGACCTTGCTATTATGAGAACTGATACTGATAATGCCCGAGCTGCGATTCTCTTGAACTGGTTTAAATGCATATTTAAGACTGGCCAAGCACATATTTTATTCCCATATTAATTTCAGTGTCTCATACATCCTTGAGCTGTTATCAGTTTGCAGGAAAATCTCATAAAGTGAAATGGTACAAGTTGGGCCAAATTAATTTGGCCAGTGATCAAGCAAATTTAAATATGTGTAGTTACTAGATTTCAGTGCATTGCCTTGAACAAATGGTTCATTTTGTGACTGGAAATCCTGTGCTTGGTCCTCCTTGTTGCTTGATTTTAGCCTGAGTGAAGTGGCAATAGGGTCCATCCTCCAACACTAATCTAACAGTGGAGGATGGAAGGTTAATGTTGAAGATAAGGGCAACAAAATTAAGATTATCATTTTATTCTCCAAACGTGACTGTGATGCTTCCTTTCTGATTACTGAGCAGACCCGGGTGGACATAAAACTGTGTATGATATCACCACAATACAACTGAAAGACCAAATGGACCAGTACTTGGAATACCTGAACACGAACTGTAATGCATTTCAGAAATTATCACTTTCACCTCAAAACCAATCTTTGTGCATTACCAAGTTGAATAAATGAAAGTGACATTAAGATTCCCTCCACGGTTAGGTGCTATAATACAGCGTTTCTCTTTGAACTGCTGATGGTTAACGATAAATGCAGAGAATCTGATGGAGAAATTTCTCAACTCATAAAAAATGCTAGTACAAGGCATTTGATGAAACATTTTTTTTACTCATAAGCATACAGATACTTCTAATACAAAGAAACAAAATAAAATATGCCACCAACTAGCAATTTGTAAGGCACCCAGAAATATCCATTTTACATGAGTGCATTATGAATGGGACTAATTCATGTAGCGATTTCATGCCAGACTGATTCATGAAAACAGTGGCTTGAAGTTAATTATAAAGAAATTCAGGTGTATTGAACAAATGATGAATGGTTCACGTTCAGGCAATGGAAAGAATGGTTTCATTTGACAAAAAAATTTTCATTCCACTTACCTTCACCTAAAATAACAAATTAAATCTGTCACCTCATAAAGTTATTTAAAAACCAAAACACTTTAAAACATTCACTATTTGTGTCAGAGAAAACTGATTCTTACCTTATCAAGAAAAGTATTCACAAGCTCTTGTTTTTCTTTTACAACTGGAAACAATGTTGAAACAGTAGACAATACACAGGAAAGGAGAGTAGGGTCCTGTCACAATGAGAATATAAATAAAAAAATTCCATCTCATGAGAACTTGCAAGACTATAGGTGATCAAGTTTCTTCAATCATCAGCTGGACCATTTTAATTGGTCAAAAGCCTCCCCCATGTGAGGGTTTTTTACAAATGAAAAAAAAAGGTTTAAACAGTTTCAAACTCTCCCCCACCAAGAGTGGGTTGAGACTACTACTGCATACCTACCAGATTACCAATACATGTGTTATTTCCTAGGTTCGAATGGAAGGCTGGCTAAAGCCAAGAAGACATCACTCAGGCACCGCTAAGGAATGAACTGCTTGGGTTGGGGGTATTCTATGAACATTCCCCAGAGGTGATGAATCACTGAGCTATTAGAAATAGAAGATCCCTCAGGGAAGCTCCAGTGGATAGCCACCAGTGCCGAGCGGTAATTCCTGATCGTACAAAAGAGGAAGCACAAATGAAATAGGTGAATAAAGAAGTCCGTTACGAGGGAAAGAGACGCCTCGGTCAGATCTGCAGTATGCACTCTGCACCAAGAGTTGCAGTGTCAAATTTGGCTGTCATAGAGTTTTCCTGTAGACAGTCGCCTATCTATGGCAGCCAAGGCGGCAGTGTCTTGAGAATGGCGTGCCTGCTTGAAAGATCGCTGGACAATGTCCAATGCATTAAGTGTAGGTGAGGCAGGTCCAGGTAGAGGCAGCAGTATCTGGGCTGGAATAGCAGGTCGGGACGCTGAGGCAGTAACAGGGGAACATTGACAAGGAGTCTGACGATGCAGGAAAACCACTGCTGTCTCAGCCAGAATAAGAAGAACACAGAAACATCCCCTTTCTATCTTCGACAGCACCATTGGAATGAGTGATAGAGGAGGAAAAGCGAAGGCCAGAAGACCCTCAAAAGGAGACACGCAGGGCATTGGCTGCCCAGGTCTGCAGTTGTGGGTACTGATTGCAGAACATGGGAAGGTGAGTGTTCAGAATAAAGTGTCGTATGGTCCACTAAAGCATTTGCCAAGCAAGGAGGCAGAGAGTACGCAAATGCATGCCCCCCCAGCAGTTGATGTCGCAGTCACATTGTCTGACTGGACTAGAACAGTCTTGCTGACTTAAAATGACTGGAAATGAAGGAGAGCTTTGAAAACCACTTGGAGCTCGAGAAGGTTGATGTGACAGTACCAGAGGGAGAGGTCCCACCGACTGGATATCTGATATGGAGGAAGGCTGACACTCCAACCGGAATTCGAGGCATCCGTTGTGACGAGAGGGACGAAGGGAAGGGCCACGGTGAGATTGGCTATGGATGACTATCAGATCAGATGATGGCACGTGAAAGCTGACAATGGAACATGGACGTCAAGGGCTTGAAGAGAGATAGGAGAGGCAGCATATGAAGTCAACACTAAGAAATGAGGTTGACAAGACTGGCCATTAGTCCAGGGAGGTGGAGCCACAACTGAGTGCTCACATGGTAGGCCCTGAAACAGGGCAAAGAACTGTATCAGATTGTCTATGAGGGCATCAGTCAGAGTATTAAACTATGCTGTGTTGGAGATCAGGGACAGCCCCAAGGACAGGAGTCTGCGACAGGGATGGCCTGGATTTTTTGTGATTGATCAGAAAACCGACGCGTGTCATGACAACATATGCAGCCGTGGGCACCATGACAGTCTCGACTTTTGTGCGAATGGTTATCAGCCAGTCATCAAGGTACTGGAAGATGAGGATGCTAGAATGACAGAGATAGGCTCCTACTGCTTGTACCACCCTGGTAAATACCCTGGGAGTGGTGGAAAGGCCAAAGGGAAGGGCATGGAACTCTTGCTTGGATAGATTGTCTGGGACCAGAATCAGTCGGAATGTAATTCTGGTCGGAGGGGGTCTTGTGAAGTCTGGGTGGTAACCATGAGAAAGAGAGGAAAGAATTAACCCTGCGAATCTTAGAAGGCGGCTGCCAACGGGTTTGGCATTGACGGCCGTAAGAGAAGCAGAGTAGTCACTGTCACTGATCCCTGTGAAGTGTGGGGGTGGCGGGTAAGGCCACACTGGGTTCTGGCAGTGCTGGGAGGAGCAGGGCATGGTCATCTCTAAGCTGGAGAGTAACAGCCTATGGCCGTGCTGTGGAGCCTGTTGTGGTGGGGGGGGGGAGCAGGGTGTGATGGTTTAGGGGGAGCCATACTGGTGACCTGTGGATGAGACCTGGTTGACTTCCAAGCTCTGTCAATTTGCCCAACCTCACTTTCCGAGGTGACTAGAAAACTGGCACCTGAAAAAGTCACTGGTAAACAGGGGAAAACCCTTAAGTGCAGAGTTAACTGATTGATGGGGAATATTCAGGGCTTAAATTGCAAATTCTCTATGAGACGCCTTAGCATGGAGAGAAAAACGGGCAAACTGCTCAGGGCTTGTGATCAGGGAACCATCAAGACAACGGAAAGCCATAATGACAAACTTGGCAGATATATCTGAATCCTTCTTGCAGGCATGAGATAAACATTCAGGTAGGAGGAGATATGACATGCAGTGAATGTCTGTACGGGCAGCCAGGTCAATATTCCTGAGAACCACCTCCATATGTTGGAGGTTACGATCGAGATAGGTATGGCCATATTTGCCTCTGTGTGGAAAAATCTCAACCTTGGCCATCTCAATCATCTCAGTGCAGAAAGGTAAGTATCAAAGTCACCCGAAGGAAACTTGAAGTAATGCTGATGGTGGATGCCAGGGTGCCAGCGCTCAGCCTGGGCTAGATTGTAAAATAGCGTCTACGCAGGAACAGTCAAATGGGAGCTTAGTGAAGACGGGTGAAGCAGAAGCCTTCCTAGGCAAATGACGTTTGAACGAAGGGTGGATCTGATCGTCCAGGGGCATAGGGGTACGCAGTTCCAGAACCTGCATCATTTCACGCTGAAGCAAATGGAGGTGGGGTGCAGATTGAGAGAGATCATTCAATGAAAGTGACTCTTCTTCATCAGGCAACTGACTGAGTCAGAGATATGCAAATATGGGTCAGGACCAGTAGGGGAATCAAGGCAATGTACGGCTCTCAGCAGATGCAGGCTGAGATGGCCTGGAAGACAACGGAATTCCTGCTGAAGAGAGTGAGGGTGTACTGCGGGTGATCAAGAATTTAGCAAATGGAGTAATAATGAATTATACCAACAGACTGATGGCGTTTCCATGGGATCACCACTAGGACCAGTCTTAGCCAATATATTTATGACCGAACTAGAGGAAACAATTATCCCTAAGCTTGAAGATGAAGGTATTATCAAA